CGAGGATACCCCGCCCGATGTGCGGGGCTTTGGAGCGACGTTTTCCGTAGAAGCGTCCGCACTTGCTCTAGGAGAGCGTGGCTTACGACGCTTCTTGCGGCTTCTAACCGTATGAAACGAACTTGAGGATTCGTCGGAATCAGACGTCCTGAGAAGGTCGTCGTCCGACGGTGTGGGGGGCGGGGGGGGGGATCGCTGTGAAGCGGTCCTCTTTATGGATGTGCTTTCACACTCCATGACGGAGGTTGAAGGGGGCGCAGATGTCTGGGATTGGGCCTTCTTTGCGGTGAGGATGGCTTGGAAAAGGTGATCGGGTAGGATACGTTGAAGTTCCTCGAAGGAGAATTCTCTATGGAACAGATCGCACATGTCGGCAATGCAAGCCGTTAAATGCAAGAGAGAGAGAGGAGTAGATGTATTTCACTCGCACTTCTCTCCGTCACACCTACCTTGGTAGGTTAGAGGGAGATAGGGCGAGTGGGCAAAAGACCGACCCCACGCCGAAGCGAGGGGGGAAGGGGGACGCGAAAAGATGCGGCTATCCCTAATGGAGTTAGCGGCAAACCTTCACCCTTGGGACAAGGCCCAAGTGCACTGGGATCGGGTCTTTGGTGTTGTTAAAGCTAGAGGGGCCTTAGCGAGCGCACCGGGATCGCTCAGCCGGCTTGGTTGTCACCGTATGGTATCCACCGACTCAAAGTTGATAGTGAGTCAAGTCCTACTGTTTTAATGTTTTGAAAAAAAAAACAGCAGGACCAGCGCTCAGGGGTGTGCAAAAGGCACGAGACGTACTCACAGTTTGGGTAGGAGAGAGTCGTGTACGCGCACGGGGGCGCGCAATGAAAGCTGAGAGCGGAATGAAATAATAAAATAGAATGATATTTCTTATATAGTGGTTTAGTTTGTAGTGACTTCGAAATTTTGAAATAACATTAATTAGATATAGAAAAAAATCATATTATAAACTAAATAACATCAAATATTGTTTGAAGTTAACTGTGAAGTTCTCCTATCTACGATAATATTATGGAACTATATAAGAATAATGATTACTTCATAAAGAATTAAAATTTTATAATTTTTAAGCATTAATTTATAATCTTATTTCAATAAAAACGATAAATGTAAACGCAAAATTACTACAAAATTCGACGCACCGGCCGTCTGACTTCAGTACTGCGCGAGCGCTTCTCAACATTAGACTTATGTCGAATTTCTTCGCGCCATAATGCATGCGTTCGAACATGGTAAAAATTAATACGTCGAGCGAGTGACAATAACAGACCCGGTCAATTTGAGCATTACTTTTCATAATTATGGGAGTAAGTTGCTGGCTGGTATTTCTTTCTAAATCGTATTGAAATCAAAACTGCTAAAAACGGATTGGATATTACCATGGGAGCAACATTTATTTTTCCTTTTTTATAATATTGTTGCTTTCCGTATTTTTAAATAAATTTGACCAAATCGTTTTAGCTTAGTTGATTATCTTTGAATTGCTCGGTGTCTTAGTGAAAAAGCGCCGTGGCACGCGATCGTTGTTGTTAAGCAATTTTCGAAAGGGTCGGTCACGGGATGGCTGATCAAACAATTACTATCTCGAACTGTTCCATGCTTCGGAAGGCACCTCAAGCCGTTGGTCCTGGCAGCATTTTCAGTCGCTAATACCCTCCAAATTCATTAGGACATTGCTGTGATGACATTAAAAGGCTGATGAAGATGATGATTATGTAAGTATTGCGTCGGCACTAGTGGGCTAATATAAAAAAAAATAACAATCAATGTCTTTTTTTAATAAGTAAAAAATAGGCTACATTTTGAAATATATCATATCTCTAGTTGCATTAGTAAATTGGACCTGATTTTTTCTTGTCTTTTAAACAATATTGCTTATATTAATTATGAAAAAAATAATATTTTGTACTCGTTGTCACACACGAATGTCAACTTAAACTGGATTGCGTACTGATATATTTCTTAAAATCAAACTTACACTTTATCTAATATAAAATAAGGTTTATTTTTCTATGTCACATTTCAGAGTAGAAAAACGGTCTACTAGAGATATTAGATTTGTAGTAGTAGGTCCTTGTCTAACGAGTTGCCATTGGAAAATTAAATAATTGTTATTGGCAATTAGGAGATTTTATTGATTTTTTAAAGACATCACTAGGTAATTTTAATTATTATCTATTAGTAAATATATTGAATAGACATAGTTGATATGTTTTTTAAGTAAAAGTGTGAATTAATTAAAATTATAATGTAAACCGATGTCGTGTTAGTAGTTTTTCGTTACATATAAGTAGCAATATTATAAATTAATATGGCCGCTCGATGTGACAACATAAACAATGTTAAAGTTTAATGTTTATTTGTGTTTTGACTTACTAATTCGATTATATACATCAAAATGGTATATTGTTTTGCTTGGCTGATTGCAAAAATGAATGGTATCACGAATGTGACTTCACATTCCACAGGTAAGCTGTTTTCCTTATTTATTAAACAGCGATGAAATAGGGTGTCTACGATCAAGAAACAAAACCATATCAAAGAGGCATTGATTTAAATTAATATTCATACGTTTATATTATAAACATTTATAAATTTTACTTACGCTACCCGCCATTCTTCGTTATCAATATTTTCACGGTAGGTACAAAGTTATTTGGAAAATGAAAAACGAGAACTAGCTTAATTATGTTTTGGAAAATATCTGAATGGCCTACACATTAGTTTGGATAAATATTTATAAAGTAATAATTTTCTTATGCTGACCATGATCAAATTGCTCTTATGTTTCTAGGATCCTAAAGGATAAAAGTCTAGCTGAAAAATGGAGGACAATAATACCAGGCAAAGTGATCCGTTGTATTCTAATACAATTAATAGGAAAAAAAAAACATTTCCTATCCTTTTAATTGATTTATACATTATAGATGATTATAATAACATTTATGTACTTGTTTTATTTCCTACAAAATAAATATCTTTACCGATAAATAAAAACTAATTTATCGGTTAAATTTCTAACATAATCATTCATAATATCTGTAAAAATTTATAAAATTATATCTGTAAATGTTTAAATTTGGTCATGTAAACATTATTAAATATTACCTATTTATGAAATTATTAAATACGCGTGGACATCCTACAAAACTACTAACAGAGATGACAGACAGAGATGAAGAGTTACTAATTCATTCTCTCACTCTGCCCGTTTTTAATGAAACACTGCACAATCCAGATTAAATTGACATTCGTGTTGTCACATGACCACAAAAAGCACCTGACCTCACGACCCTCTTACTAATAGCAGCACATAGAAAATTCAACCTTATGCGCACATAGACCGATATTAGTTTCAGAGAGCCGTTACGCCATAGCGACGCCATTACAGAAGTTCGCAGGGAATTTAAAAAATTTAATTTAATATTAGATTTTAACTTATTATATTAATGGTGCTTTTTTAAATATTTTTTTCAGATCTATTTCATAATTCACAAAATATATAAAAAAGTTGTCTACGCCCCTATTGAATGTAGTGCTGCGAAAAACTTATCTTTCTTAAGATTGGATCATTTGCATCTGAATTAGTGAAAAGATCTGAATCAATTAATGCTTCATTTGGATAATTTGGTTCATTTGGAACATCGATTCTCAAATAAATTTAAGAGAGAGAGCAAATACTTAATTGAGTTACGTATATATATAAAAATCACTTAATGCTTTTTATAAACCTTTGTTATATAATATTGTGTTTGTTTTAAAATATAATACTATGAACAAAAGAACACTTTTTATTTTAAGAAGTTTCAAGAAGTTTTCGTGTGGGAGAGCACAAAACTTGTATATCGATTTCATCTGAAATTAATTGTGTAGTGCCAGATTACATCACTTACCGACAGGTGTGCAGTGGCATTACCCCATTAATGTAATGAGGAAGTATTTAAAAAAAAACATTAGTTTCCGAAATAAAACTAGATGTCGCTATGGTACGTTCTTGATTTCTCCATGACAACCCTTTCGGTTTTCTCTCATGTTTAAAAGTAAATTAGTTTTCAAAACTCAATAAACAACTCGTATTCTATTTGTACTTTTTCGTATTTGTATTGATGTCTAAGTTTCGAACGTTTAAAATTTCAGTTTTTTAATATGTTAGTTAAAAGGAACGGAATTGACTGTTTTTGGTCCATTCGTTTCCTGTAAAAATTAACTTTTGCTAGAGTCGCCATCAAGTGGAGGTGCTTTTTCAATGCTTTCGTTAATTAATTTTAAGAAGATTTGCATGCTGTTAATAAAAGCAAAAACATGTTGAACTTTAATAATACCATGAGAACCTTATGTACCATGTTTTCAAGCAAATAAAATGATTATTATTATTTCGTTTTTCCTAATGAGTAGCATTAGGAATGGGGAAATGGGAAAATATATCGATATGTATCGTATCGATATCATTGAAATGTATCGATTAAAATTGTAAAAAATATTGATATATTGATATATCGATATTTTCTGCGCAATAATCGATTATCTATAAAAATTGAAAAAAAATCGAAATTTTAAGGCATATAAGCACTTGGCTGTTTTCTTATTTAAAATAGGTACATAAAGCCAAGAAAACAACATCATCAACACGACAAAAATTATATTATTCAAACAAATCAGTATTTGTCTGATATTAACATCAGGAGCACTCTCAGTGATACCAACTAAACCAATAAGCAGTATTATTATCATAATGAAACAAAAAAGAGAAGCAGGTCATAGACTGTAATTTCTAAACTCATACAGCCATGCCTACTTCTTTTTTTAAATTTAAGAAATACATGATGCGATGTATGGGCAGACAGCAGAACTTTAAAAAATATATCGATTATGATACGAATTTGATATCTGAAAATAAATATCGAAAGCCGATATATCGTGGGAAAAATGTCGCTGATTTATATCGATTTTTTACTGTAAATATATCGATATTTCGATAGTTTTGCCAATCTTAAATTTAAGTGCATTACTCTACCCTGTGGATGACGTTTGTTTTGTTTATGTGTCAAGTGGTGTCTGTTACCGTCCCTGTTGATACTTTATTTATGTAAAATGTGTGATTTAAATGATAATCCGTTAAAGCTTACAGTTAAATGGAATGGAAAGGAGTATACTATACCGGAGTTTTCTCCATCTGATTCCGTGGCAATGCTCAAAATTGCCATAGAAAATGCTACCGGAGTTCGACCGGAAAGGCAAAAATTACTCAACGTGAAATTTCAGGGTGAGGGCTTTTTTAAAGCCATATATGTATTTTAAGAGATTTGATTTAAATGAAATAATTTCATTTATATTTTTTTTCTAAATAATATTAGAAAGATATCCAATAGTATATATAATACTTAAATGTATATCTTTAAAACTATTTGAATGAATAGAATTGATTCTTTTTTACTCATAATATTGGTGGGTAAGTTAATTACGATTTCGATGGACTTTAAACAGACCAGTGTTCTTCACTATAGAGACTTACACTTGTTAATGCATTTCATTAATAGTCTATTTAATTTACATTCTATTTAATAATCTTATAGTAATATTTAAATGCCGTTTAAAAGGACTACACATTTTGTCATACCTTGATTGATATATCCCCACAACAGTTTTGTATTGTTTCAATAATAATGTATTTAATTACATCATGACCAGCCTATTAATGCCCACTGTTAGGGCTCAGGCCTACATTATGGATGGAATTGACTAGAATAGGGATAATGAGCTATGACCCACCGCACATGCTCAGTGTGGATTGGTGGGTGTCAATGACTGCAGATACAGCCAGGATCAATGGATTAATGTGCTTTTGAAGCATGGAGGAGCTCAAGACAATACACTTTTGGTCACCCATCCTATGGCTGGCCCTTGCAAATGTTGCTTATCCATTTGACTAATGACTGTTTTCTCTAAACATAGGAGTCACCTAAATATTTAAGAATCACTTTAGGTAAAAATGCATTTCACCATTGACTAGGAACCACGTAACAAAATTAAGCAATGTCTAAAGTTATGATATTTGTTACGCCGTATCTTGCTCTAGGTGGTTGCATATATGACAGGTTATAACTAAATTTGTAAAACAAGGCCATCATTAAAATGAATGATAATATCCTGAGGATTGCTACCGTGTTTTATAGATGCCCTGATAGATAGATGGTAGCAATCTTGCACATAATTATCATTGTAATTCTAACAACCATTAAAGTTTAAAAAAACACAGTATACTATAAGTAAGTTATGTTGGAATGTAAGTAAGCTCAATTTTAGGTGAATTGTAAACTAGGTTGTGGACCTATCAATAAAAGATTATTTATGAACGAAAGAAAAATTAGTAAAGAGCTTTAAAAATTGTATGCTTTGATGTTGTTATAAAATGTTTGTTATTAATAGTAACATTAATCTTTATTAGGGAAAGTAGCGACTGATAATTACACATTATCAGAACTGAATCTAAAGCCGAATCTGAAGATTATGATGATGGGTTCATTAGAAGAAGCAATAGAAGGTGCTAGGACAAAGCCAGATGTTGGTGATGAAGTGGTCAATGACTTGGATATAGAAGAAGAGGAGGTGGATGTTGAAAACCAAGAAGTATGTGCTTGCTATAAATATATTTATATGTACCTTTTGTTGACTACAGAGAAAAATGCATCTTTCATCAAAAAACCTTGTTACATTTAGGAACTATCTGTTTTGTTATATTTTTGGTAGGGATGCATATGTGTGAAGATTTATATAAATATGCTTTTCCTGAAATTTTCTATTACAATATATGTGATTCGGTTCTGTCTTGTCTATAACTAATGGATAACCACCTAGATATGCACTTTTCACCTCATGTCAAATTACACAATAAGTGAGCTAAAACAAAGCGCATGTGTATTTTTTGCTAAAAATTCATAAAATATATACACTCCTATTTAACAACACTCTACTATCCCTCTATGGACATAATTTTTTGTGTACTGTTGAATTGCAAGTAAAATACTAAATCTTTATAAGTAAAATGAAAGATTTAACCAAACTAGGCAACTTATTTTCAGATTTACTTGGCAAAAATAAACAAACGCATAAAGGATTATAAAATAAATATATTAAATGAAGCCCGCCCTGGAAAGAAATTGCTGGTCCTGGATATAGATTACACTCTATTTGATCACAGATCAGTTGCAGAGACTGGTAAGTAAACAAGTTGTGTATGCTATGTGTTGAAATAAAGCATTATACAGGTAGTATTATTATTATTATTTTTGCATTTAAAAATTTACTCTCCCCGACCCCTCGACGATTCGAGGGGTGGGAGGATTCCCCCCGGCAGAGGGGGCCAGACGGCCAGGGGTCAGGGCGACAAAGAGAGAAAACGGCGGACGATCCTTGCGTTATCGAGCAAGATCGCCCGCTGGAGCCTCGCAATCATTGGTCCGTCATGGAGTCCCAACTTCTTCAGATGGTCGTGAAGAGAAGTTGGGACTAGGCCATTCGTTGACACTACGACTGGGATGATCTCAGTGGATGACACTCGCCACATATCGGTAACCTCGTGCGCCAGGTTCAGATATTTAAGTTTTTTATCTGATTCGGCTTTCACGAGGTTTTCATCGAATGGGACGGTGACATCCACTAAGAACACCCGAGATTCCGCCCGGTCCATCAGTACGATATCAGGCTTGTTCGCAGGAACAGTCCTGTCCGTAATGACGGACCAGTCCCAGTACAATCGAGCGCGGTCGTTTTCAAGAACTGGCTCCGGCACATACTTATAGTACGGCACCTTTTCGCCTATGAGGCTGTATTTGAAGGCTAGCTCGAGATGGAGTATTTTGGCTGCTTGGTCATGTCTGTGCAAATACTCGGTATTAGCCAGTACAGGACAACCGGAAGTAATATGCCTGAGAGACTCCCCAGGCTGGTGACAGGCTCTACAAACGTCCTCTGTCCCATCCTTCAGGATATACTTCCGGTAGTTTCGGGTCATAATGACGTGGTCCTGTATTGCACAGACAAAACCTTCGGTTTCCCCAAAGAGGTCCCCGAAGCGCAGCCAATGCACGGAGGCTCTCGGATCCACGTGACGCTCGTGTAGCGCCTTGTAGAACCTACCGTGCAACTCCTTCTCCCTCCAAATGGTCTCTCGGTCAGTGGTGCTAAGTACTGCTGGTTCTCGCCATTGCTCGGTGGCCAAAGTAAAATTATTATTATTATTATTATATCATCATCATCATCATCATCATCAATTCAGCCGAGAGACGCCCACTGCAGGGCATAGGCTTTCCCCAAAGATCTCCAAAGCGATCGGTCCTGCGCCTCCCGCATCCAGCGGCTTCCCGCAACCTTCATTATTATATAAAATTTTTAATTGAAAAAAAAAAAAAAATTAAGGGCAGGAGGGGGAGGGGGTAGAATAGTATTTTATAGAATTTGTATAGCAATCAAAACTTATGATGGTGATAATAGGTATATCTAAATATATTACAGGTTATGAGCTCATGCGTCCATTTCTACATGAGTTCCTTACATCAGCATATGAAGATTACGACATAGTTATCTGGTCGGCCACTGGCATGAAGTGGATTGAAGAAAAGATGCGGTTATTGGGAGTGTCCACACATCAAGATTATAAAATCATGTTCTATTTGGACTACTTGGCTATGATAACAGTACACACGGCCAAGTATGGAACAATAGATGTGAGTGACGTGAATTTTTTTAAAAGTTAATATGAAGTTATACCTCCTTATTATAAAACCAGGACCAAAATGCTTAGTTCAAACTATCGATCACCTAAAGTAAATTGACAATGACAGAAGAGAAAATATGAAATTAAGATATGTTGACTAATTTTGGTCTGGTAGTGGTTTAAACCTGATATTGAAGTTAGTTATTGTTTTATAATAAGACAAACTAACTTTGTTAAATTCCTACACTTATTAATAAACATGGACTAAAGCCAGATTATCTTTACTTTAAGAATTAAGTCAGTAGTCCATGTATATGAATACAACATCGAATACTTAGTCTCCTATTTTTAATGACTGCCATGTTGGCGCATGGCTTGGGTCAGACAAAACTCTGTTTAATGAAAATGCTTTGATTATTAATTATAAACATATTCTAACAGATATATTGTTATCCCGATAGTTATATTTGCAGTTTTAATTTGCACTGTAATATCGTAATATGTCCGAACGTTGGCGCCGTCGCAAATACTCTAAATCAAAATAGACCGCACTTTGAAGTGAGGCATTATGTCTTCGGCAATCTTTAAGACTCTGACCTGACATCTAGTTGTATTGTTGAATGAAGGAGTAAGGAATGAATAAACTAACCTGACTTTAGTCTCGTAGTAATAGTTACACCGTGGTGCTAGCCAGCGATTAGGCAGGGCGTAGTGTACATAGAGTATAAAAACTCTCTTCCATGTTAGAAAAATAAAATATTGTCGACCCCCCACTCCCTAAACCGTTACGTAATACTTGGCTTGTGCCATATAGGTAAAATAGGATTCTATAATTGACATTGCAATGTTTTTCAGGTTAAACCACTTGGTGTGATATGGGGCAAATTTCCACAATATAGCTCGAAGAACACTATAATGTTTGATGATATCCGTAGAAATTTTATAATGAACCCTAAGAGTGGCCTTAAAATCCGCCCCTTTAGGCAAGCACACTTAAATAGGGACAAGGACAGAGAGCTATTACACCTCTCAACTTATCTGAAGGACATCGCTCAGCACTGTGAAGATTTTGACACTTTAAATCATAATAGATGGGAGAAATATAAACCAGATAAAAATAAAACTCAGCAAGCAGGCAGCAAACGGAAAGCTGAGGATAGCTCGCCTTCAACACCAAAGCAATGACGTTAAATTCTACTATGGGCGCAATGAGTTTCTACTCTGGAATGGTATTAAATAGTGCCCTTTTGACAAGACGGCATGGTGTGCTTATATACAGTTTTCCCATATAAAATACTAATATACTTATTTAATATAAGGTGACATTTTGAAGGTGAGGAATGCCAATGGCATTAATGGAATAGAAGAATCTGTGGAGAAAAGAGCAATCAAAATATAAACTATAGTGTGAATATATGCATGTGTTATAGTTATAGCTTTGTCATAATACTATCCAAATTGTAGATATATTAGAAATTCATTGTAAGAACGTAACTGAAACCATTGGGATTGTTTTAAGGGGTTTTGGGACTAACTTGCTGAAGTTAGTTATGTTGCGCTTAAGGTATTTCCTTGGGAACATTAGCTTTTAAAAAGTTAAAAAGACAATAATAATGCACCAGTTTGTAAAATAATTAGTAAATAATTATGTCGCCGGTAATCCGCATAGTTCAGATATTGTATACATTGTACACTACATTGTACATTAGTACGAAAATTATTTTTCGGGTATCCGGCTACCGGATATTCAACCCTTTATCGTATTCACGCGATTTGTTTGATTTGAATATAAGTATGCTGTGAATATGGAGTGTTGAATGAGAGCGGAAAAATTGAAGCGCGTTCAAAGAAGATGATTAATGAGATTGGTATTTTCTTTTTGTTATTTTGGTGGTCAGTTAATCTGAATCAGTATCCGCATCCCATTGTGATATGATTTACTTTGTGTAAAAAATGAGACCACATTGAATATTACTATCCGATATCTGGCCAGGTACCCTTTCACTATCCAGTATCCGACCGGATTGTGAAAACAAGGCCGGATTCCGTATAGCAACCGAATATCCATTCCCAAACACCTGCTAGTGCTTTGGCAATGATATATTTAAATCACTTTATCCCTATAGGTAATCTTTTAAGTGATTAGGTTATATCCTTAACTTTCAAGTTATTTTATTTTCAGACCACAGAAATCAAATGACCTATAAAAACAGTATTTTAAGCACATTACCAGCTACCTATCTGGTATTAATTATGGACTACCTAGTTAATAATCGTGGGCATTTTATACTTACGTATTGTATAGAATATAATATTAGAATAATACAGATTGCCGGTAGCATTATACATTATATAGACTTTTTTGAGTTTTAGCGGAGAGTGAAATTTTATAAGCATATTAGTTTTTGTTTATAGCAAAACAAACTATATGTTTGAAAGATAATTATTTTCATGATAGTTAATTTAAAATGTTTGTACAGATTCAATATGCTTTATTTGTGAAATAAACAATAAAGCATGGTTTAAAATAAAGTAGGAAATTCAAATATTTATTTATCGACAAACTTTCCAATGGCTTAAGTTACGCCTATAATAAAAAGTGAAGGTCCGAGTGATATGCCTTAGTTTGAAAGACTGCTAATTTATCGAGTAAGATTTCTTGTGACGTTACAATAGAGATTGCGAAAATTGCATTTATAATAATGTGTAATAAGTATTCAATGTTATTGATTAATTTATTACTACTTCAAACTGAATTATTTTGAACAAATACGAATTGAAACATATGCTTTATGTTTATAAGAGCAAGCTTTATGATTTTTTGCAGTATTTGTTATTTTTGAAACTGTGTAAATCCTCAATTTATTAAAAATGATTTATTATTTAGCGATTGGAAGGTAAAGGGTATCCTATTTTGGAAAAGCATGTACTTATTTTTTCAAATTATTGTTTTATAAAGATTCAAAAAATGATTTTCGATAGAATTGACACATTTTCTTGCCTCACCTACCTGTAAATACACTTTCCGCCGTAATAATGACGTCGTATTGGTATGTTCTAAATAAAAAAGATGATTTATTGAACAGAGCCATCGACTAGAAAATGAAAAGTTTCACATGACAGATTCAGAAATATTTTTGCCAAAATGACGTCACATATCAGATTAGGTGACAAACTTGAGCTAACTATTGTTCACTAACGAAAGTACCCTATTGATCAGAGATTCGTAGAATTTTGTGATCACTATTTTTCGCCATTGAGGAATAAGATTGTCATTTCTAATAATGTCGCTTTATAATGCATATAAATATTTTTTATCAAATAATTACGTTATAATAAATAGACATTGAACAATATACTTTTGTTTAATTATTTTTGAGCAGAAATGACATATTGTAGAAATCATATCTCAATTATTAATTCAAAGTTATAAATACAAAAACAGGCTTAAATAGATTATTCTCTTTGTCTATGCTATTGAGTATCAGTGAGTTAAGAAAGATTTAAATGATATGCGGGCAGAATATCACTTCCAAATAATATTCTACCCGCATTGCAGAGCGCAGTCTGTTCTCAGTCTTCGTGGTGTTCAGATGTTTGGGTAAACGTTCAGAATAGCACTATCACTTGACTGTAGTTATTAATGTTATTTTTAACAACAGTTAACTCAACCAGTGAACTAACAATAGGTAAATATATATAAATATAGATAATTATCCCTAGAATCATAGGTATTATAAAGCCTCTCTAATATAATTGTTGCCATGAGACTATAAATTAAAGACAATATTTGTTTAACAGAAACAAAGGTCAATTTACTTCCAAATTTAATTAAATCTTAAATGTATTTGCCTTTACTGTCTATCGTCAATGAAAGCTTCTGGTTCATAATTGAGATCGAGTTGTCTCGACCTGATGATTTCTCTGTAGACGTAAGCGGACTTTCTAGCTCTTCTGGTGCGGTTCGGGCTGGAGAAATCTACTTCGTATAGCCCAAACTTTTCACTGTAACAATTAATATGATCTACTGTTGAAACTACCCTTTTTAATATAAACACTACCTGTAAATAATATCTGCTTGGGAATAAACACCGTATGGTACGGCGGCAGAGGATTCCCTGTGGCAGTACCACAACAATGTTTCATTTACAATGAATGTGGTTTTCACACGTACGACTTAATTATTATACGTATAATCCATGTACAGTCAACAGCAACGTCAGCATGCGTAGCATGACGAATGCGAGAACGTTTTGTCTACACTCAAATGTCATTTTTCTCGGGTGCGCCCATACGATATCTCACTCTCGACCCGAGAAACTGACAAGTGAGTGTAGACAAAGCGTTTCTTGAGTTTGTCATGCTACGCGTGCTGGTTATACAAATCTGTCAAATTTCTTTACTTGATTTTAAACCCAAATTTTTGAAGGCAGAGTTTATAGTGAAATGGAGAAATTTGACGTATTTTATTGGTATAGGCATTATGCGAGTTAGGTGCGGCCACGGTGTAGCGGTACTGCGAGAGTAGAGTCTGGCAAGCGAAACGTGTCACAAGAAAAGGGCGGCAATTTCAAAAATTCTTAAGCAGTAAACACTGAATGTAGTACTGCAAAATAATTTTGATACTTTTATTAATTATATTTAATCTTAACATTTAGATATCAATTAAAATTATTTGTTTTGGAACATTTGACTAAAGCGTGACTGTTCTTAATTGTACAGTTAACAGCATATCAGTAGGCCTATTCACTAACTCAACTGACAACCAAGAATCGTCATCACCGTAAAAAATAGACACTTTGATTGTGTCAAAATCACTATTTCGTATTCTCTATCAATGATGAGCAATTTCGAAATGTCAATATCGGCATTCTCCACTGGACTCCATTTTGACACTTGATTTCGTATCGATAAACTGTATTAAAGTAACATTGTTGCAAAGCATATTTGAAGTCGTCGCATAGTACCTCTTAAGCCATTTGTTGTTAAATTAAAGCGAAAAAAAATACGTATCCAATATTTTTCTATTATCTGACTGACGGACTAAATCGAATCTTTTTTTTAACCCATTCGTTATACCTATTGGCTAACAGCACTTATAATATTAAAAATTCATATTTGTCATTAATTAAAAGGGTGTTTTTTGCAACGACTTCTTTGTTTTTTTGTAATGAATATGGGCGACTCTGGCCACATTTTTTTAATAAATGTGATGTTAGCCAATTTTGATTTCTGGCCCTTATATTTATAATGTGTTCATAACACATACATGTCTCCTAAGGGATTTTCATCACAACCTTTTGCTCTGATCCAGAACCACTATCTATCAAATTAAATTAGTCAATATAAACACCAGATTACAATAAAAAAAACATTTATTTTTGTTACAATTAAGTGCCATGGATAAATTACATAATACAGGTGTCACAAAATCATCATGTTAATCACAATAGAAAATTTAAGATAAGATTTTGACTATGAATCAGACTAAAAATACTTTAGTCTGATTCATAGTCAAAATCTGTTTCTAAATATTCTACACCTGATAACAATGACAAGGAATCATCAGAGTCACTCTCTTCACTACTGTCTGCACCAACAGATATAATAAATTTTTCAAGTTCGTTTTCAACAATGCCATCTTTTAATTTGTAATCATTTTCGACATTTAAAACATGATCAGTGTATTTCTTCCAGTCACTAGGGGTAATTAAGTTAAAACACTCTATTATTAAGTTTTCCATTTCCTTTCCTGGTATTCCAATGTTTCTGCTTGCAATTTTTCTTTTTGCTTGACTCCAAACCATCTCTATTGGGTTTAAGTCACAATGATACGGTGGCAGCAATAAAAGTTCATGATTATGTTCTTTTAAAATCTCTTCAGCTTCATATACAGGCAATGTTTTCTTATCATTAACCAAACACATTAACTCTGCCTTTGTCTGATATTCCTCAAAATGTATTCCATTATTTACAAGCCATTTACGGATATCTGCTTTGGTATTAGACATTATAGGCGGTTTATTGATTTGTTTTATATGGTAGCTGGCATTATCCATAACAATTACACTGGGCTTACTTAAATTTGGTATTAATTTTTCTCTGACCCATTTCATAAAGTTCGATGAGTTCATATCATCATGATAATCAGCAGATTTGGATTTACTACTGAACACTAATAATGCACCAGGCACAAAACCTTCCTCAGATCCAGCATGCACAACAATATGCCGTTTTCCAGAGGATATCTTTGTAGTGACACCAGTTGTTGAAGGTCCTTGCCAAGACTTTTTAACTTTATAATTCTGATGTACATAAGTTTCATCAAGGTACACAATTTGCTTTCCTTCGTTTCGTTTTATATTTATTTCTCTCAAATACTTGTGCCTCCATGCAGAAATCTGGTATTTTTCTATAAGCATAGAACGTTCATTTTCATTGCTTTTAAAAGAAAATCCATTCTTAAGCATAATTTTTCGTAAAGTCTCACGGCTACCACTGAATCCTATTGCATCTTTTAATTCATTGTGAAGGCTTCTTAATGTTGGAACAATTTTTTTCACACAGTAAAATTCATTTACTTTATTCCGAATTGCACTTAAATCAAAATTATCTAAAGCAGACACTGTTGGTTGATGAGGTCGTTTTTTCCCAGGAGTGTCCCATTTTCCTTTATTAATTAATGCTTCATTTTTTATCCTTCTTAGTGTCCTTATACTTACATCTATAAAAGATTAAACACTTTGAAACAAAGATATGTTAAATGTATTTAAAAGCAAATAATGATAGACACATACATCAAAATAATTTAAATACCTATTCAACTATGAATGCAATTTATGTTTAACTTAGTTAAGTTTATGTGCATATTTAGCATGTATAACAATTACATGGTTTGATTAGTTTCATGAATTCTGTGAATTTCCTTGTTAAACAAAACATTCTTATGACATCATTGGATGTCAACAATAAAAACCAATACATCATAAAAAACCTATGTAAATATTATAGGAATACTATCAATCTATCTTAAATTAAAACAAGAAAAGAGACCTGTCATTGAAGAAATTTTTTGTAAGTACTGCGTTTCCGAATTCAGCATTTCTTGTTTTTCTAAAGTTTTTATTGCATTTATCTCCTCCATTATTGGTTGAATATCACCATCACAGTTATCTGAAATAGAGCAATATTTTATAAAAAATATCTGTTTAGTTAATTACAGAAAATTAAAACGAAAGTATCAAAATTATAATACAAAACTAACCTAAAAAAGATACAACTTTATCTAATCGTTGTAATTTCTCCATGAAATTTTTATTTAATTCAGTTTTCACTTCAGTAAACTTGTCAATCATGATGGAAAGAAGTTTCCTCGATGAACTTTTTATCGGCTTCGACATAATTTTTAACCAAAAACACAAGTTCAAATTCGCAAAAACAACAAAATTCAATATTCTTGAATTGTCTAACGTAGTGTCAAACTGACAGTTCTATGTTGTTGCCATATGAAAACGGAAAAATAGGTGGTGTCACGTTTCGCTTGCCAAACTCTATCACACAAATCTATATGTTATCGAATTAAGTAACTTATATACTAAACGTCAGTTTATTATTTATGATTATAATAGTGTATTGTGGTTCGTAAAATTAGTCTTATTTTATTGTGCACATTACATGATTTAGTGTAATTTATTTATTTATTACTACATGCTGACTTACAGACATCCAACATACTAGCAAGTTAAATATAGCAAACAAAAAACTTATGTCTGTATGGCTCGTAAATAATAAGTGTTTTGTGAATTTGACGCGGGAAAGTTGACAGGTTCACCTCTTTCGATTGGCTCCAAAACTAAAGTAGTATTGAAATGTAATTAAATATTTTTATGGAAAGGGGCCGTCCATTAATCACGAGAGGCTCGAAATGGGGGGGGGGGGAGGGATTCGTGAAAATTCACGAAAAATCACAAGGGGGGTGGGGGGGGTGTAGTAATATATCACGTGTATTTATTTTTCCTCGACGCGCGATTATTAAACCGAAAAGCAACGTAAAAATTAAGATTTTTGATTTTTTTTTAAATACACGTGATTTGGTTAAAGGAGGGAGGGGGTAGTCTTATTCAACCTCACCATGTATCACCAAGGGGGAGTGGGGGTCGCAAAATGTTGAAATAACCTCACGTGATTAATGGACGGCCCAAAACTAAAGAAATGTCACTGAATACTAGGCTGTATGGATTGGTTCCCTTTGCCTTAATTAAATGTATTAAAGAAAATTTTACAATTCTTAAATTTTCAATATTGCAAGCACTGGTGGCTTGCTCACGATCCCGAAACGATGTATAATTTAATTAAATTGTTATTATAGGTATATAAACACTCACGTGTAGCCACTTTTCCATTCAAAGTTGTCCATGAGCGACCAGGTAGCATACCCTCTGATGTCACATCCCTCATCTACTGCGTCCAACAGAGCGCTCAGATAGCTTCTATAGTAAGCAATGCGGTCTTCGTCCACTAGACCACCTGCAGTAGACCAGCCGTTCTCAGTTATATAAATTGGCGGATTTCCATATAAGTTTTTTATTTCAACTAGAAGTTTGTAGAAACCCCAAGGAACTGCCTGTTAAATCGAATATGTTATGTACACAAAAATCAATTTTCAATCGGTATAACAATAATTTATACTTAATTAAAAATAAAAAACCTACATTGTATAAGGGTATTAGGCTTTATGTCAAAAATATGAAATTGGTTTTTAACTCTACCATCGATGTATTAAGGTTCAAATCAACAGATTTTTTTTTTAGTAAAAACCTTTTATTTTTGGTAATTCGAGCCTCTTATCTGTCCCTATCAATGATTATATACAAAGAATGTAGCTACTCCTGACCGTAGCATTTTCCAGAAATTCGCCATGTTGTACAAGTTCCCACGTTTTATGCCATATGACCAGCCTTATAGGTAACAAGAATTTAGGATCAATCTCTGAGAACCAAGTATAATTCAAACTCGCCTGTAACCAAGCTGAATGTGACTGTGGCCACGACGGGTCTGCCACCATAACAGCTCCCATATCATCCATATATGACGGCACAGGATACATTCCTTGTGAAGAAGTTTCTCTGTAAGTTAACTTTGTGGTGTAAGCGTTGAGTCCGAAGAAATCTGAGGTTCCTTTGATGAAGGCGATTTCAGCTGCCGACAGCTCTGGTAGACGGGATCTGGGGAAGCCTTGCCATACACTTTTTAACGCTATATTCAACTTCATCTCGATTGGGAAGTCGCCTTCATTGGAAAATATAGGATGGGCGTATTGGCCACACTGAAAAAGACATTAGAATATATATTATGGCCAGATTATTGGTCCCAAACATATGATATATGCCCTATGTGATTCTGCGGAGTTGAGATTCCGGTTTGATACATCCGTCATTATTGTTATTAAAAAATAATTAAAACTGATTTAGAATGATAGATGTAACAAACCAAAACTTCGGTTTCCTCGGAACCTAAGTAATTATTAGACCAAAGTTAATATATAAACTGTATTGCAGTAGCAAATAACGTGTGGGTGATTTATTTGACTATAAAATTCTAGTAGTTACAAAAAACTGCATACTTACATCAAACTGTCTTGCATCCATAGCGGCCTGGTAGTCATTCTCGCTATCCGAAGCTGGTTCATACCACGAACAGCTTATAGATATACCAATGGTACCATTTTGCAGTTTCCTATATTCTTTATCATACAAGTGGTACGCCTTGGCGTGAGCGAGTAACACGTTCTTCGCACATATATAGTCCCCTACGCCAGTATGATTAAGGAAAGGAGCTTTTATGTCGCCGCCGTAACCGCCGTAGCATATCATCTGAGGTTCGTTAATTGTCACCCAAAATCGAACTCTATCACCGAAATTGTCAAATAAAACTTTCGAGTAATCCACGAACCAGTCGACGACGAGAGGATTTGCCCACCCTCCTAACTGCTGCAGATTATGAGGAAGATCCCAATGATAAATTGTAACCAATGGTGTGATATTGTTGTTAATCATTTCGTTTATTAGATTATTATAGTAATCGACGCCCGGTTGGTTGATCTTGTCGGCGAATCCATTTGGTAGGATCCTGGGCCATGATATTGAGAATCTGTAGAAGTCTAGACCCAGTTCCTTCATCATCTCTACATCTCTCTTGTAGAGGTGGTATGAGTCAGCAGCTACGTCACCGGTACTGCCATCTTTTATAGGAGATGGCACAGTGTGGGTGGCTATATCCCATATTGACAATCCCTTGCCTGTGACAAAAAATATTTATAAAATGGAATCATCTGTAAACCGGTTATCCCTCAATGTTGTTGCATGTATTATTAATGCCTGAGAAAAAACTTATCAAAAATCTGTTTTCTACTAATACCTAAGTAGGCAGTCATTTTTAAACTAACCCGGTTAGATATAACGAAGCAAAATAGTCTTATTGCTAATTACGGAACCCTTTCAATAAACAAATAGTTATATCCATACCGTCTTCACACCAGCCACCTTCGATTTGGTATGCGGCAGTAGAAGCACCAAATAAGAAGTTCTCAGGAAAATTGCGGGCTGCTTGAGCCCTTTTAGACCAGACACCACTAAGTATCGAGAAACTGAAAGCAATAAGAAAATTGTTTACATATGTTAAAATTATATTTAAATGATAACAAATCTCAACGATTCAGCCCTTTCTTGGAATAGAAGATTTCATTCTCATCAGTAAGATCCATGTAAAAGCATAGTATAGGTCTGGGAGTAATAAAAATAGGTGGAGGTGCTCTCAATCTCCTTTTATAAATTTTTGAAAAAGTAAAATTCGAAAAGCAATTGAAGCATGATTATGAGTAGGAACATCCCACATCAAAGTATGAGGGACTTTTTCAATGTATTACATCTTAGTATTATTTGCAGTAGATTATTCGGTATAGAGAATTAAGTGTAACTGTTTTATTAAAAAAAAAGCAAATAATACTTACTAGAAAATAAAGATAAAATACCATAACACAAGACGACACATCATAGCACTTTAGTTGCACAGCATACACACTCTTTCTTGCGATATTTATTACGGTTTCACTGTCATTATTTTGGGTTAATTTTTGCTTGAGACATCATCTGACGATTATTTACTCAAATGGTTACCTCAAAAGTTGCGTTGGTCGTATAAATAGAGATATTAATTTATTTCATACATACAACTAATACCTCGTTTGTAAGTAAACCAATTGAGTAAATAATTTTATATGGTTCATTAATGATTTATTAAAGACTAGCTTTGCGATTTCGTCTGCGTTGTATAATTTTTATAACAAAAATTCCATACAAACTTTCATCTTATATTTCAATCCCTTTTTAGATATAAAATATTAATCATCATATACCAAGGCTGGTCAACATACAGTTCTTTCTGTACCAATACCTTTAATACCTTTTATTTGGTTCAATGGTTTAGGTGTGACAGCATAACAGACATAGTTAATTATGCATTTATAATATTATTAGAGATTACTTCCATAGAGTTATTATGTATTATATTATGTACATCGCAAAGTTATGGTAAAATTGTCAAAAAGTGCTCTATTAAACACTGTCATTGAGTACCTTGCGTGAGTTGAGTGCGTGCGGACACAGTGGACGTTCAGCTTTAATGAGATCTTCAATCATTTAAGTCATCACTAGGTACTTACGGAGGCACTCTTTGTTAATAACTAAATAGGTATTTAGACTTTTGGAAATTGTTATATAAATAAAAATTAAAGAATAAATTGTATGTAACAACAGTAAAGTGCCAAAAACTAACTAGGAGAGACTCGGAAGTCATCTTTAACTTTGACAAGCTACTGAACAAAAACCGATTGACATAAAAATAAATAAATGATTGTGTATGAATAACTGTTTGTCGAGGTTATTTAATAATTCACAAAAATTGTGTAAACGATTATATTGTAAACGACAGATTGGAGAATAGCTAATCTTAGGTGTCAAGGAACTGTTTTAAGTTTAACTCAAGGAAAACTTATCGTAATTTCAGGACAAGTAATTAATTGATAAAACTGCAGCAAATACATTCAAGTTTAATAAATAAATTAAATATTAAATGTCTTTCCCTTTGTTGTCGTTATCGTCGACGAAATCTTCTGGTTCGTAATTGAGATTGAGTTGTCTCGACCTGATGATTTCTCTGTAGATGTAAGCGGACTTTCTAGCTCTTCTGGTGCGCTCCGGGCTGGAGAAATCTACTTCGTATAGGCCAAACTTTTCACTGTAAGAAATGAATGTAATTTGTAAGTAGAATATGTTACTTTGATGCAAATCCAAAACCTACAAAAACTCTATAAGGACGTAATAAAGATATAAAGTTTCAAAGTTTAAAGGGGGGTAATCTTAGGAAATACTGATCTGCAGACCGACTGCCTAACTCCTTTAGCAATAATTCTAGCCATAGGATAAGACCACAGAACATAAAAAGAGGTGTGTTCCGTGGATATGACATCTAAAAGAATTTTTAGCGCTATTTCGTTTCGTTTTACAACTTTTGCTGTAACGTCCATGCATGCTTCATGATTGATAATCTTTCTTTCAAGACGCCTCCACCGTAGGAATAATAGCTTAAATATATTAAATTACAATAATAACTAAAGATTTTTAATACTAGAAATAAATTAAGAATATTACAACGAAGTATCTTTCATTCTAAGAAGGTATCCCTACTTTCGAGGTGTTCTATAGTTTTTTTCAATCTTGAATTTTAATAACTAGGAAATAAATTTGATAAAAATTGATGAATATGCATTTGATAGCAATGTTTCCTTAGAAATTTATCCCAAATCTACCCACCAAAAGAAATGTCAATGTAGTAAAATTAAACGAAATACCGTCATAATATTCGCTTATATGTCATAATCTATTTCACCTACGGTTACGGAAGCTAAATCACTCGCGGGTGACATAGGCTATAATTTACGTAGACGAAGTCGCGGGAAAACAGCTCGTCATTGATATAGAGACACTTACGTGTAGCCGTTTTTCCATTCAAAGTTGTCCATGAGTGACCAAGCAGTGTAGGCTTTAATGTCACACCCTTCACCCACTGCGTCCAACAATGCGGTCAGGTAGCTCCTATAGTAAGCGATGCGGTCTTCGTCCAATAAACCGCCCGCAGTAGACCAGCCATTCTCCGTTATATACACTGGTGGATTTGCATACAAGTTCTTTACTTCAACCAGTAATTTGAGGAAACCCCATGGAACTTCCTGATAAGTTTAAAATATAAAAAATATATTATTTCTTATATAAGTTCAAGATGTGAATGGGTAATTTGCTACGTCTAGCCGCTTTGGATACTCCCGATTGTCTGTTATGCAATTGCATCTCTAACAAAGAATTGAAGTGAACAAAACTCAAAATTATCTTCGGAACACACCATGATTATGAATCCGATCTCTTTTAGACCTATTAGTTTTATGGTTTTAACCAATTAGTGGGCTTTATTAGTGCTTTTATCTCTAAAAATTTAATAGGTACGTAATTTATTTAGATACCTCAAATTACAGTAATCCTACTTTTGGTTCATGAATTAAATTGTCTCTACAGACCTAAAATAAACATTTTCGTACCTAAGCCATTGCAAACTAAATGAGTGAAACAAAAATAAAATACGTAAATTATGCTATTTATAAACAAGCTACTGAGAATGCCCGCTTCGTTCTACGTTAAAGAATAATCACAACTTTAAACTTGCCTGTAACCATACTGACTGTGCCTGCGGCCACGACGGGTCTTTGATCATAACAGCTCCCATGTCATCCAAATACGACGGCACAGGATACATTCCTTCTAAAGATGCATCTCTGTAAGTCAGCTTTGTGGTATACGAGTTGATACCCAAGAAATCTGAGGATCCCCTGATGAGAGCGACTTCTGTCGCAGACAGTTCCGGTAGACGGGACTTGGGGAAGCCCTGCTCTGCGCTTTTTAACGCTATGTTTGATTTCATCTCGGCTGGGAAATCACCTTGATGAGAAAAGATAGGATGGGCATATTGGCCCCACTGAAAATATCATTCAAACTTTTTACCACTTATAAGGCTACGATCAATTTATAAGTAAGTCAGTAATAAGTATATAAGATTTCTTCAATTATTAGGTCAATCTAAATGAATAAATCGTGTCGTCTATTAGAACCTATTGGGGTGGGTATTTAAGCAATCGACTTGTAAAGAAATACTACGTAGGTGTTACTGTACTTATTTCTGAAAAGAACTTTGCATACTCACGTCAAACTGTCTTGCATCCACGGCAGCTTGATAATCATCCTTAGTATCCGAAGCTGGTTCATACCACGTACAACTTATAGATATGCCAATGGTACCATTTTGCAGTTTTCTATATTCCTTATCGTACAAGTGGTACACCTTCGCGTGAGCGAGTAACACATTCTTTGCGCACGTATAATCCGCCACACCAGTTACATTAAGGAAAGGGGCTTTCATATCGCTGCCGTAACCTTCATAGCATATCTGTTTAGGTTCATTAATTGTCATCCAATATTGAACTCTATCGCCGAACTTATCAAACAAAATCTTAGAGAAATCCGTGAACCAATCGATGACAAGAGGATTAGCCCACCCACCTAATTTCTGCAGATTATAAGGAAGGTCCCAATGATAAATTGTAACGAACGGTGTGATATTGTTGTCAATCATTTCGTTTATTAGATTATTGTAGTATTCAATGCCCGGTTGGTTGATCTTGTCGGCAAAGCCATTCGGTAGGATTCTGGACCATGATATTGAGAATCTGTAAAAGTCTAGACCCAGTTCCTTCATCATCTCTACATCTCTCTTGTATAGGTGGTATGAGTCAGCAGCTACGTCACCGGTACTGCCATCTTTTATAGGAGATGGCACAGTGTGGGTGGCTATATCCCATATTGATAACCCTTTGCCTGTGTAAAAAATTGGGATTAAATGATTTTTTCCCTGAAATTGGAAAACTAAGAAAATTAAGGTAATCCTTGTAATTGTTACATTTATTACTGTTAAAAAATAATTTTCCATTACATCTACTCATAAATTTTCATGATATAATTTCATCAATTATCCGACATGATTGATGACGTGAGTTTGTCGATATGATGATGTATTATTAATGCAAAATTACAATTTTCTAGTAGGTATGTACTGTTTCTGAGCTAAGCCGAAGAAAAACAGATAAACATAGAGAAAGTAAATGACCCATAAACAAATGCATTTTAATTAGATCCATACCGTCTTCATACCAGCCACCTTCGACTTGATATGCGGCAGTAGAAGCACCAAATAAGAAATCCTCAGGAAAACTGCGGGTTGCTTGAGCCCTTTTAGACCAGACACCGCTCAATATTGATAAACTGAAATGAAAAAAAAAACAAGAAATGCTATTAAACCACTAAAAAATCAAATTGATAAACGACAGAAACACCTTATTGTATTCCACAAAAGAAAGATAAAAAATAATCAAGGTTAATTTTTTAAGAGGTTCTCCAATAAGTACTCGGCAAAAAAAAAAAAAGGTTTACGACGGCAAATAATAAAATATTCTACTTACTTTTTGTACTTATTTATAAAAAAACTTTTAACTATTTCATGGATAAAGGAAATGGAATAAATAGAATGAAAATTTGTGAAAATCCGGAGTAAATTGAATAATTCAACACAATATTATATTTCAAAAGCACATCACAATGTTACGAATTGTTAATACTATTAATTTAAGAATTTTTGTTAATAATTAAAAAATAAATGTGTTTTATTAAAATGTAGAAAACACACTTACATGAAAACGAAGATAAAATACGTCAAGAGAGGACAAGACATCATGGCACTTCGATCACTCTACATTTGCTGCGGTATTTGTTTGAGTTTTACAGTTGATAGTTAGGGTTATTCTATATTGTTTTAACAATGCATAATTCGTTCTATAAAATGAAATGTGTTAAAAATGAATGCGTAAATTGAAGTTATATACAAATTTGAAGCTATTAAAAATAAATTATATTAAATTGACTTGTGCAATATCTAAAATTTATTAAACAATTAAAGCAATGTTGCAAAAAATATTGCAATCTGTTAAATAATAAAATAAATTGCTTATCGTTATTTTATAGTAATTTGGCATTTTTATAAAAGTTAGAAAACTGGAAAAGTTTTTCATTTTCATTTGATTCTGCTAATTAGAAACAAAATTATTCAATAAAATCTGCGAAATTGATCAAAGATAACTTTTAGTGTATAACGAGAAAACTAGTGTCTAATTTGGCAAAAAGGCATATTTCTTTTATTTTCTCTAAAGGAAAAAAAAACGGAAAGTTTACCTCTAATTCAAATGTATTCATTTATATATTTGCATTACATTTGTTTGTAGAATAAACCTGTTGGAAATCTCTCACAGATCTTATTGAAATTTTATCTGATATCCATATCATAACACCTATTCAATAGGTACAAACGAGTAAAAAATATAGACAGGATAAGAAGAATTACCACTAAATTTAAATATGGTGTATAAAGTTTTCGTTAATTTTGAATTTAATAATTATATAATACTTGCTTTTGCACGCGACTTCGTCCGCATGGTATAGTTACTTTGAGCAGCATTTGTAAAACGTATATTTATTCAGTAATTTATTTTTGTATATTTATTCGTGTAAACCTGAAATAAATATCATAATTTTATCTATGACAATGATGAACTTTCGTATAATCAATAATAGCAATTTATGTCCTATCTTTCGTTAACTCTGCTCACCCATCCCGTGACGTGAACCTTGCGTAAGTTACTTAACGACAACTATTGCGGATCGCAGCTCTTACATACTACGTCATCGAGCTACTTATCAGTTTAGCAAAGTATAAAGTTCTTACTAAATTTTATTTGAAAACTTAATCTTGACGAAAACAGGGCGATGTAGATATATACTTAAAGCCATCTAGTATAGCAAAAAAACTATAGTTTATAATTCGTACTTGAATAATTTCAAAAATATTTATTTATAATGTTATTTTTTATATTATTTATGTACTCAAATATAATTTTTTATCACAATATTACAAAATCTTTAGAAATAATATTATATAGATTTATTATAATATGACAAATCAAATTGTAAACATTTTGATTCCCCAAAACAATTTCACTCCCATTTTTATCCCTTAAGCGCTAGATTTCGAGATAAAATATAACTTATGACCTTCACAAGGTCTTAAACTACCCATATACCAATTTTTATCGAAATAGGTCCAAAATAAATAAATTTCATACAAATGTTTTCACCCTTTTGATTCCCTTCAGGGTGGAATTTCTAAAAATCTCTTCTTAGTACACCTCTACATAATAAGATGAATAATATATAAAAGGAGATATCCTAACTCACTGACTAACAGACAACGCGCAGCCTAAACCGCTAGTCGTAGAGATTTAAAATTTGGATTGTGCTCCAAAGACTACCGTCAACCGGGGTTACTTTGACTTCAAGGTTAACTTTGACAGTTTTTGGGGCTACTTTTACATTGCGTCGAAAACTCCTGTAAACGTGTGCGCAGCGGGGAACCGATGTACGAGTCTCCACCTGAATTTACCCGAACAATCCTTGATAATAGTCTACTGGAGTTTTTGAAGGAGACACGAGGCTATTCAACACACAGAATAAGACACAAAAGAGGGAAAAAAGTAACTTACACACCAGGAACCCAAATAACTCCGCAAAATCATAAAGACATTCAATCTACCGACATTCAACAAGAAATACTGGAGGATGAACCGGCTGTTGAGTCACCTTTTGATGGTCCTTCTACCATAGGGATGCTTTCAATTACTAATGAACCCCCTGCAATTCTTGATGATCCTTCTACCTCAGGGATTCCCTCAACTTTGAATGAACACCCGGAAAAGGATCAAGCTTCTTCGGAAGAAGATACTCCTTTAGCTCAATTCGTTCGCAAAAGACGCAAGAAGAGCAAGGGAAAGGAGAACGAAAATCTTTGCTACATCAGCAAATGCGATTTTAGATTTTATTTCAATGCTCGATACTGGATTCGTTGCATTACATGTAGCATGTGGGTCTGCGGTGTTATCCTTACCTCAGGTCCTTGCTCATAACAAACACATGGGCTTAGATTTTGTTATTTTTAAATTTTATGTTCCTGATCTTTTTAAAAACACATGGGCTGAGATTTTGTTATTTTTAAATTTTATGTTCCTGGTCTTTTTAAGATTTGTAAGTTTTATTGTCCAAAGTTTTATCATAGTCTGATTAAGTAATAATAGTATCATAAGAAAAGAAGCTAATGACAGTATTATAAGAAAAGAAAGAATATATTTGTTAAGTTTTTCTTTAATAATTGACGATTAGATTGAATAATAACTGTTTTCATTTAATTTACATGTTTAAAGTAAAAATATTGATATTTTTTTTATCAAAATGGTGTCAATGTAACCCACACGTTAGATATCTATGACAATATACTCAATTTAAGGCCATGTTAAAGAAACCCCACACACGGGGTAACTCTAACAGGAAAATAAAAAAAATATATAAAAATTTTGAGGTGAAGTAAGGCTAAACTTTTCTATGCATTTTATAGCCAAAGGACACATTGCTCTATTGGAACAAACCGGGATGATTTTCAACCTTTAAATAAAAAGTTACATAGAAATAACTTCTAAAACTAGTTCAAAGTAACCCCGGTTGACGGTAGCGGTTTAGGCTGCGTGTTGTCTGTTAGTCACTAAGTTAGGACATCTCCTTTTATATTTGTATTATTTTCTTTTATTGAAAAAGCGTAGCCAATCTGTGATTTTCGTTATCATCGGTTAAGATAACCAATGATGAGAATGCAATTCATCAAAACCATATTGTACTATTCACTTGAACTGGTAATTAAAAATATAATTTTAAAAGTTTTGCTATCGATTGTACCTACTGATATTATCAAACCTTTGCGAATCGATAATGCTTACTAACGGCGTTCATGAACAGTTTATGTTTATAGTAAGTATAGTTGTCACGACATGAGCGAAGATTTCATAAAATATGCATTTATGCACGAGAAGTCTTAAAATTTTACAAGCTTTTATTTAACTTACTTTGTTAGTATGTTAAGTGCGCAAATCTTGGAACTCAAATTTGACCCACTTCCCAATGGCCGATAGATTTGAAATTTTGCATAGACGTGTAAGTCAGAAGACAATGCAATATTATGGTGTCAGTAAACTGATATGTCGGAAGGAACATAGTGATGGAATGACGCAACTGCATCGTGTTTGGGTTCTTTAGATCCGTTTTTATGAGGATTTGATATGGATGCTTTCCAAAACAAGGTCTGGTGGTGATGGAGCTGGATGGTGGTCATAGGAATTTAGCAATGAAATAACGCAACTGTATCGTGTTTGGGCCATTTAGATCCGTCTTTATGAGAACAAAAATACAGTGAGACAAAACTAAAAAGTAAAAAATAAATAAATAAAATGGTTTTTTGAAAACAAGCTTTCATTTGTGCGCACTAATAAAAGCTTCTTTTAAAAAAACTTTATTTTATTAAATTTATTTTATAAAGTAAAAAAAGGATTCAAAATATGGATTTCAAACTAATTGCACTTTTTTAATCATATCTTCAAAAAATATCAATCACTATACGTACGATATCATCAATTTTATTGGAAGCAAAAACTGGATTCATACATTAAACAAACTAGTACTCATTTCGGGAATCCAAGCCAGACGTTTTGAAAAAAAAAGTTATTTTAATTCAATTTAATAGGTCAGTCTAAATGATAACCTTTTTTGATGTCGGTTAAAAATATTATGCATATAACTCACACTTATTTGTCATTTTAAGATGAAACTAAATCAAACACATGTCTTTATAAAAATGAAATAATTCATAAACAAAATAAAATAACAATGCAATAAACAAACAAATAAATCGATTATTTAATAGAAATAGCCAGTAGAATTGCATGTGACGTCCACGCTGAAATCTGTAAATTAAATTAAATAACGTTACTACTATATCAAATCAGAATTAAGATATACTTCTGTAATATTAGTAAGTTTTCGCTTTGTTGACAAAATGAGCCTTGCTTACCTTGTTCAAGAGACAGTTTCAATTTTGTAGTTAGTTCGTTTATGTGTTATTGGTTTCTTCAAACTGTTTGTATTTAAGTTTCCTCTGTAACAAGAAATAAGGTCATTAATTTTTTTACATGTAAACAATAATAATGATTATGTAGTCCTTAGCAGAAAAATATCCTAGCATGTTTCAAAGGTCACCTGGATGACTAAGATTTACTCGGCACTTTTATAAAATAAAATAATTAAACCTAACTAAATCAATTTATCGCCTCTGAAAGCCCCTGTATACTTAATGTCATGAAAATTGTTGGAGCCGTTTCCGAGATTATAATACAGTAATTGCTCTTTTCTGAAAGCGGGTAGACTACCAGTCCGGAAAGCGCTTCAGAAGCTATTTAACTCCGCCATACTTGAGGGCAAGACGCCAGAAGCATAGCACAGGGGCGTGGTAGTGCTTTTCTTCAAAAAGGGCCCAATTGAAGAACTACAAACCCATCACTCCTCTGAGTCATGTATGTAGGCTGTTTTCGAGAGTCATCACGAATCGTCTCGCACGTAGATTTGATGACTTCCACCCTCCTGAACAAGCCGGTTTCCGAAAAGGTTACAGTACCATAGACCACATTCATACGCTGCGACAGGTTATACAGAAGACCGAGGGAGTATATAATCTGCCACTGTGCTTGGCGTTTGTGGACTATGAGAAAGCCTTTGATTCCGTCGAGACCTGGGCCGTGCTTAGGTCACTCCAGAGGTGCCAAATAGACTATCGATACATCCAAGTGCTGCAGTCACTGTATGAAAACGCCACTATGTGAGTTCGGCTCCAGGACCAAAACTCGAAAGCAATACGACTTCAGAGTGGAGTGAGACAGGGCGATGTTATATCGCCGAAACTGTTCACTGCTGCACTGGAGGACGTGTTTAAGCTTTTGGACTGGAAAGGACTTGGCATCATATAAACGGCGAGTACATGACGTACCTTCGTTACGTTGATGATATCGTAGTCATGGCTGAGACCTTAGAAGATCTAAGCACAATGCTCGAAGACCTCTGTGGAGTTTCCCAGCAAGTGGGTCTTAAAATGAACATGGAGAAGACAAAAATAATGTCAAACTCCCATGTTGTACCCACTCCAGTGAATGTTGGAGGCTCTACACTGGAAGCTGTCGACGAGAACGTTTACCTGGGACAAATAGTCCGATTAGGTAAGTCCAATTTCCAGAGAGAGGTAAATCAACGGATCCAACTCGGCTGGGCAGCGTTTGGGAAGCTACGCAGTGTATTCTCGGAACATCTACCGCAGTGTCACAAGACGAAAGTCTTCCATTCGTGCGTGTTGCCTCTGATGACGTACGGAACGGAGACGTGGCCGCTTACGATGGGCCTCATAAGGAAGCTCAAGGTCGCTCAGACGGCAATGGAAAGGGCTTCTTTGCGAGAGCGAATATGAAATGATGAGATCCGCAGAAGAACGAAAGTCACCGACATACCCCAAAGAATTGCGAACCTCAAGTGGTAGTGGGCAAGGCACATCGCTCGCAGGACTGACAGCCGTTGGGGCGGTAAGGTTCTGGAGTGGCGACCGCGTACCGGGAGACGCAGTGTTGGTAGGCCCCCCACAAGGTGGACCGACGATCTGGTGAAGGTCGCGGGAAGCCGTTGGATGCGGGAGGCGCAGGACCGTTCGCTTTGGAGATCTTTGGGGGAGGTCTATGCCCAGCAGTGGGCGTCTGTCGGCTGAATTGATGATGATGATGATGAATTGCTCTTTTAAAGGTTTTAGATAAAAAATATATAATTGCGTCAAACAATATAGAGAGAGAATAGAAGTAGTAAGTGGGCGGGGCACGCGTCGCTGGCATATGCGCTTTTACTCATATGACGCCCTTTCCTCGGTTTTATGTTTGCCAGTCGTTCGTCAATCGTCGAGTGGTGATTTTACAGATTTTTTCTATAAAAAATGCCGTTTTGTGCTATTATCACTTGCAAAAAGCAAAGCAAAGTATACAATCTAACTAATGCAAACATTTCCTTTCACTGGTAAGTACAATTTTAGTGCTAAAATATAAAAAACGTAATAATTTGACACAATGTTAAATAAAATATACATTGATTGCTCAAACCAACATCAATGTTTCTGACCCCATTACTAAACAGCAATGTAAATCATTTTGTGCACTTTTGCAAAAAATAGTGCTGTGCCTCCATTTGTCTGAAATGTACCGATAGGCTGCTGCTGCTCGGAATCGTATTGTTAATTATATGGATCGTAATCGATAACTAAAACATATTTATTTAGAGCTTTTCTTTCATCATTTCATAACAACGTTATCGATAAATATATGCCATAATTATATAAAACTAAAAAATACTGTTTACAAGGGAAAATTATAGATGAACTGATACTGAACAAATGAAATAATGAACTGTCCAGGCACTTTTTTTACGAAGATTCGGTTAATTATTTACACGCAGATAAATATTAAAAATTACTGATGTGCTATAAATATCTAAGTTACGAAGTATATCACCGTTTTATGAACAATACATAAATTAAACGAAACTTCGTGAAAAGCTAAGAGTTGGCCTAATAGGTCTTGTTAGAAACTGGTGAAACTGGATTTCACTTATTTTGCATTACTTATATTTCAGTTTCCCTAATAACTTTACAACGGATTGCCTTGTTTACATAATTAATTTTGCCCTATCTGTTTTAGACCTAAACCTATCAAATGAATTTCAAAACAACATAATATCTATACAAACAAAAAATTATGTTTTCAACTAACGTAATATTGTTGGTGGTGTGAATTTAATTTACAAAATTAATTTTTAGGCGTCAATTTAATTTACCTTATTATGCTGATTCATAATCGGAAACTATTATTATAGAAATCGAGTTAAGAAAGCCACTTTAAAGAACCGCCCACAGAACAGCTTTTATCAGTTTTTTTGTTGCTCCATATTTGCACATAAGTTTATAGACGCATGTCTCAAACGGATGTGACTTTATATGTAGATT